TCCTTCCTTCCTTCCTTCCTTCCTTCCTTCCTTCCTTCCTTCCTTTCTTCTTTCAAAAGATTTTATTTTAAGTAATCTGTATACCGAACTTGGGGCTTCAACTAACAACCCCGCGATCAAGAGTCACATACTCCACCAACTGAGCCGGCCAAGCACCCAGCAATGCTCTGTGTTTTGATATGGGTGCTGAACACTGATGTTCACTCCCTGAAGATTCATCAAACAGTCTTTGATTTGTGGACTTACCTGTACATAGGGTATATTTCAATTAAGAGACAAAACTTCAAAACAATTGAATAAGTTGTCCAAAATTCTGGGAGTTCCTGGTTATATTTCTCTTTATGACCTTTTCAATCTCTTGGCAATCACCATACAACTACAGATTTTTTTTTTCTCTCTCTTGGAGGTAAGGCGGGGGAGATGGAATGAACAAACACGGGCGATTCAGTAAGTTACATCATGGTCACAAGATGAATTATGGAAATTGCGACAAGAAAACAACATAGTCCTACAACATTTCTGAGCTCTTTTTGCCCAGAATTCACGCTGGCTTGCTGTTTCCTGTTGCTAAGAATAAAGAGCGATCTGTATGTTGCATTTGTCTCCCGGCGCCCAGAGGAGATCCGGAGTGTGTTTGCGTGTCAGCATCACACATCATTCCCATCTGGAGGGACCGTCGGCCCAACAGAGCTTGGGCAGGAGGCGGACTGTGGGCAGCTTCTCTGTGTCTGCCCCAAGAAAAAGGGAGTTCAGAATAGCTTGGGCATCTGAAAAAAAGGAAAAGCTTTCCACACATGGCTGAAAGCATCACTGGTAGTCTCTGAATGTTGCGTCTCTGGGGCAGTGACAAGCCCTTTAAGTGGGCCCTGTCTCTTGGGGTGCTGAAACTATTTGCATTGTTTGACATAAAGCACTAAAGTAGTCCTGGCAAAGAGAAGAAAGTAATCACTGATTCTAGCAGGCTTCTAGGACATCACAAAGTTAACATTGAGAGATTTTACCAAAAAGTCTGGATTTATAACTTTCCTTGAAAATTTGAAATGTTGGGCCTACTCTACCATTCTATTTGCAGTTACAGCACCCATGACACCCTGCCCCAAGCCCCACACTTTCTATTTCCCATACTCCGCTTTTTTTCCATAGTCCTTGGCACTTTCTAGACTACCATATAGTTTACTTACTGTGTTTATTTATCTGACTCCTTCCACTAGAGTGCAAGTTGTACTAGGGAAGGGATCTTTGTTTTGTTCAATGATCCATCCCCTGCCCGGGATAGTGCAACCTAGCATTGACTGAATGAATGAATGAATGCATGAATGAAATAATGAATGAGCCTGACGCAGGCACATCACCTGCTTGGGCCCCTGAAGGCATGTGCATCTGTGCATCTGCCCTGCACAACTATCCCTACTGACCTGCACCCCTTTCTGCATCTGCCACTGGGTCTTGGCGCATAGAGTGCCCTCAACCAGAACCCGCTGACTGCCCCTTTCTGTCTGGTTAACTCCTGTTCATCTTCTGCACTCAGCTCCAGCTGTCCTTGATCCCTCAGCCAGGTCAACTCCCCTGACTGTGGAGAATGACTGCCCTCAGCTTTTATAAAACCTACTAGAGAAAATGACTTTAACTCCATTTTTAAACACCAAGGTTTTCAGTTGCTTATGGAGATGGATGCTTTCTCCTCCTCCCCTGACCCCCGAGCTCAGGATACATCTAAAGCTCCTCTGAGTGAGTCAGCCTGGGAACTGGTTCTGCAGGGCCGGGCGAGGAACAACCATGGGCCAAGGTTCATAATTACCCCCTTGGTACTCATTTAATAAGTACAGAGGACTTATATTACCTGGGTCTCTTCACTGCATCCCAACTGTGTCCGTGCTGGTGGCGGAGGAGAAGAGGGGCCTGGCCTCCCCGGGCATTCTGGCCACACTGCTCACCCTCAGTGCAGGACTGGGACAAACACCCTCTCCAACCAAATAACTGCATGATTGAGGGCCTTTGCTGGGAACGTGGGGACAGAGAAGTGGAGTTTCCTATAATGCAAGTGAGGCATAGAAAGTTCTAGACTGACGGAGTTGGAGAGTGGCTTCCCCTCCCTATCCAATTTTGAGGCGAGAAGATTGAGACCCAGAGAAGGGTAAGTGGCTCACCCAAGGCCGCACAGCCAAAGCCGGCACAAGAGCCCGTAGACTTCACTACAGTTCCTGAGCCTGGGCTTCTGGAGCTGGAATGTCAAGAATTCTAGGTTTCATCTCCACTGTGGGACCAAGGCATAGAAACTGACGAGAATGGATAGAACTTAGCAGCTCTTACCTGGGTGTGTCCAAAATACAGATGTCTGGGCCCCCCCCCCCCCTCATTCACTGGGTCTGCAGGAAAGCCCTGACATGCAGATTTTGAAAAGGTGCTTGGAGATCCAGACATGCAATGCTACCTGGGAAGGCTGGGCCTGGTCAATGCTCAAGTCCCTTCCAGCTTGACAGATACTCAGCTGTAGATACTAAAATGAGGCTCAGGCTCAAGTGCATTCCCTGTTATCAATCCACAGTAGCAGGTCTCAGTGGGACGGCTTGGTGCCCGAGGGGCATCCTGAAAATTTAAAACATTTTTGGTTGTCACATGATGCGGTTATTTCCCCTGGCACATTTGGTGATCTTGCCCTGCAGACATGGCAAGGGTAGCCCCTCACAGTGAAGAATTGCCCGAGTCCTGCACAGCTTTTTAATAACATCTTGCCGGAACATTCATGTAGGTAAAAAACCAGATCACAGTCACATGAGCCAAAAATTTGACTTTCTTAAAAAAAAAAAAAAGATTATTTTAGAGGCGGGAGAGGTGGGGCAGAGAGAGCGAGAGAGAGAGAGAGAGGAGAGGGATGGGGCCGAGGGAGAGGGAGAGAAAGTCTAAAGCAGACTCCACGCTGAGCGTGGAGCCGACTACTTGGCGTTCGATCTCATGACACTAAGATCATGACCCTGAGATCATGACCTGAGCCAAAACCAAGAGTCGGATGCTTAACCGACTGTGCCACCCAGGCGCCCCCCAATTTGACTTTCATACAAGAAGTGCATTTCTTTTTTTTTTTTAAAGATTTTATTTATTTATTTGACAGAGAGAGACACAGTGAGAGAGGGAACACAAGCAGGGGGAGTGGGAGAGGGAGAAGCAGGCTTCCCGCCGAGCAGGGAGCCCGATGTGGGGCTCGATCCCAGGACCCCAGGATCATGACCTGAGCCGAAGGCAGACGCTTAACGACTGAGCCACCCAGGTGCCCCAAGAAGTGCATTTCTTTAAAAACATGGTTTTATTATATACGCTTCCTAGAGCGCAACTACCATGTGGAAAGTTGCATGTAAGTTGCCTTACCTTGTTTGAAACTTTACAACTCTTAATCCACCATTTTGGAAAAATCACATCACCCGAGACGCTGCTGCTTACGTAGTAACTGAGTCACCAAGACCACACCTCCATACTGGTCTGCAGCTGTAACTTCCTAGTTCATAACAATTGTACTTCATTACATCAAGATCCAAATTTAGCCTTTTTTCAACTGTCGATTATAAAGGAAAAAGTGACAACCATACTCAAATAATTATTGTTTTCTCTTAAAAACGTAGTCCACCCATTGTAAATTCATGCATTTGCCAACCTCATGTATGATTTTATTACCCTGGCTTTCACTTTTAAAGTTGGGACACTGTGCCGCTTTGTAAGAGAATTTCATGCCTAGGTAGGTGCACCCCCCGTTTATAACAAATAGATTTTGTAACTCGCATAAACAGGGAGTGTTGGGTCTGGTTGGTCTGAAACGGACTGATCTATAAATAACAAAACCTGTAGGAGGACCATAGATCTGAGGCTCTTGGACAAGCCTTGAAAAGGCCTTGGGTTCCCTCTGGGGCAAGGGTCATGTTAGAAAGGCTGACCAACTGTCAGAATCAGGTCCTGATGGGGAATGAAGCTAGACCAAGAGCAACAAGGTCAGGGGGCGGGCTTGGTTTAAGTTGGTCACAGAGCACAGACTGGAATCCTACCTGAACTCCTCCCAGACACGCATGGAGCGGATTCAACTAATTCTCTGGAGTGTTCCCGTGGGCCTGGCCCCGTGCTGGGTACACGTGTCCGTCTCCTGAGGTACCACCACCGGCCTCAGGTAGAGGCTATTAACCCTTGTTTTACAACCAAGGAAGCCCAGGCTCAGACCGTGAGACTGACTTGTCCGAGGCCATGCAGTGATCGCTGAGGAGAGGCCAGTGTGCCCGCCTTCAAAGCTGTTCTATCCCCACAGGCCCCAGCTGGTTGCCTTCTGCCCAAGGAAGGATGTATTTATTTGACTTCTGATAGGCAGTCACTCTGGGTTTGAGGCTTTGCTATAGCAGTGATCCTGCAGCCCGGACAGCAATGGATGGCTTCCTCAGGAAAAGCGGACTTCCTTGGGAACTGACTCGTTTCTCGGGGTTTTGGCCATTCTGACTTTTGGCTGAATTGGCACCTGGGACATGTACCTCGGTGACCAGGTGCACCTTGTTGTCTATCCCAGGGTGGCAATCTCTGGGCACTTGCTCCCCGCATCAGGTGCCACCACGTCTGGCTGGGCCTTAGCTCACCTTCTCAAGGCCAGTCCTGTTGTGTCATCCCAACCTGCTGCTGGTGGCTGGTTTCCCGCCTCTCCACAGGGAGGGCATTTTAGGCTCCATGAACAGAGGTCCTGCAGAGGGCTTTCTTGTGGGCCATTCCTTTCCAGGAGGGGTTCAGAAGCTGCAAGAACATCTGCCCACAGCCCTGTCTTGAGGTGAGCTTCCACAGAAGGTCCCCAGTTGTGTGGGGAGGTGTCAGGGACAGGAATGGAAGTGTGGGTAGTATGTTCCTGCTTTTTAGAGGGGGGGGGTGTGTGCTCCTGGATGTGGGGAGGGGTGTCACTAACTTGGCCATGGATGGCTGCCATTTTAAGCAGAACCAGATTTGCTGGCATGAATTGTTTTAAAAGAAGCCATGTAGGGGGAAAAAAATCCCAGCCTATATTCCTTCTCACTGTGCCCCCTGCTACCGCAAGCCCTCTGTCATCAGCACAAATTTCAGTCCCTCACTGGTTCCGCATAGGTATTTCCAATCCCTCCTAGTTTTCCTGTCATCCTGGAAGGCACCAAGATGCCACCGAAGGCCAATTTGGGGAGCATTAGATCTCCTCACCCCCCAAGTAATCATCAATCTCCCTAAACCATCCTAAACAAACACTGTGCTCTCTCTGCAAGCAGGGTGCCCAGGGAAGTACCTCTCAAACTTTATGGTGCATGTATATCACCTGGGCATCTTGTTGAAATGTAGATTCAGAGTCATCATCTGGAGTGGGGCTCCAAGAACCTGCATGTCTAGCAAGCGTCCAGGTGATGCCAGTGGTGCTCCTGGGGAAACCACCCTCTGGGTATGGAAGTCCCAGGCAACCCCACCTCTGCCTCCCCTCAGCCAGCTCAGCCCCTCCTTCTGAAGCCCCTATCATGGGAGTGTTTGATGGGGGGACAGGGCAAGGAGATTTGCTGTGTCCCCTCCTTAGCCAACGCTTCTCGCTTTTTCATATTCCTCTTCCCTCTGCAGTATAATGCTCTCTTTTATTTCTATCTCCTTTGTTCTCCTCTCTCTAGCTTTCTCCCAAGGGCCCACCAGTAGAGCTAGGACACGTAAGACCGAGAGACTGTGGGGATTTTGTTCCATTTTGGTATAATGTGATTCCCCTGTGAAGGCTGAAATTATCTCCCTTAACCCCCATGCATCTTTTATCTCTGGCCACCTTCTACTTGATGCTTCTCGTGTAACCCCTGATGTTATTCTGCGGTTAGGGGGAGAGGGAGTGTGGGGCAGAGGAGTAGGGGGCCTGAAGTGTCTCTCTGTCTCTGTCTCCCCCCCCCCCCCCGCCCCCCCCGACCCCCAGCCTCTGGGCTCTGCCAGGAACTGCAGAGAAGAGTCATGTTCCTTTCTGGGCCTTGGTTTCTTCATACATATACTATGGGATTGAGCTGGCAAGTAGAGGAAGGCTCCTCCACCTCTAACATTCTTTGAGCTTAATAAATCTGCCAGCATATTTTAGGTTCTCCCTACAAAATCCGAAGCCTTAACTTTCTATCCAAACTCCACCCCATTCTTCTGTGTGTCTTTGGAGTGATCATGCACCTTCTCTGGGCCTTGGTGCCCTGATTTACAAATTGGGAGGTAATGAGAGTCAGCTGATCTGGGCAAGTTAGGACCTAAAGAGAGCCTTGGATGTAAAGGTACCTAGTGTAGTTCTTGGCAAAATAAGTTTCTTAGTCAGCTTGGGCTGTCATAACAAAATACAAGGTAAATGTGCTGGCAGGTTTGGGTTTTGGTGAGGATCCTCTTTCTGGCCTGCAAACTGCCGCCGCTTCATTGTGTGTTCACATGACTTCCTCTTTGTGTGTGAGTGGAGAGAGAGCGAGAGAGGGCTCTGGTCTCTTCCTTTTCTTCTAAGGACACTAATCCTATAATGGGAGCTCTGCGCTCATGATCTCATCAAAACCTAATGACTTTCCAGAGGCCATCACGTTGGGGGGTAGGGCTTCAACATAATGAATTTTGGGAGAGGGAGACACATTTAGTCCACAACAATAAGGACTAGTCAATATGGTTGAATTGGTTGATTCACCTGGGAAGAGGGAACGGACTGCCTGCTGCACGTAAGGAGCAGCGAAGTCGTACTGCAGAAGTAGAGGGAGGGTCAGAGATGCACCCTGTCCTCCAGTCAGCCGGGACAGAGATTTTAGATGAAAGGATGGGAGGTAGTAGCTAAGAAGGAGATGAGGGAGAGCAGATCCTAGGATCTGAAGAAGAAATAAAGCAGAGTGGTGGAAGTGGGAAGTGGGGAGTGGGGAGATTGTGCCTGGAATCCCAAAGTGACTCTTGATGAGTAGACATCGGCTGGAGGCCCCAGAACATTTTCTGGCCCTTCAGCACTGAGAATGGATGTCTGCTGGGGGACCGCAGCAAGAGGGGTAAGGGTCTGGGGATGCCAGTGACTGATTCAGGAGCTCTGAACGGCGGAGATGTCTGGGACTTCCGATGCGCTGGGGCTGAGGGCCAAGAAGCCCAGAGGTAACCTGCTTGACCCTTTCAGGGTCTTCACCACTCGGGCTGGGAGGCCGGGAAGTGCTTGAGCGGGTGTGCAGAGGAAGGCAGCCGTGCTAACATGGGATTCCGTCCCGAGAGCACTGCTTGAGGGTACTGATGATGGCGATGACACTCTAAGTTAGTGTCCTCACATTTGCAAGGGGATGGAATTGGCTACCCTCATTCGTGTCATTTTTGTTAAGATTTCAAGATTCCATCTAGGTGTCATCTTTTAAATCTGTTGAAAAATATACTGCATGCTGATCATTGGTCAGTTAAGTGTAACTATGCTACCTTCGCTCCTGCTGAATTAGTGTCCTGGGCAAAACAGGACAAACATATTTGAGATTTAGCTATTTCATCTGGAAATGAAGGGTGACATTTGTGGTCCCGGTGGGCACTTTCACTTGAGTATTAGATGCCTCCCAACATTGCTCATGAAAATAAAGTAATATTGGTAACATTTTTTGCCCACTACCTGGTCTCTGTTCTCCATATTTGTGGGGGGAGGGAACTATGGGGCGGGCAATTCCATTTAGGGGGTTTTCAGGTAGCTTTTCTTCAGGCATTACTGACCTCGAGGAAATCTCCCGGAAAGAGAAGGGGGCAAATCTCTGAGTCACCCATTAAAATCCCAAAGGTCTCTTTAGAGACCCATCTTGCGTGGTTGCTTTGGATCAGTTTGTGCAGTGCTCGGCAGGCTGACTCTCTCAAGGGCTCCAAGTGACCAAATGTGACCAGTAAGCTGGTTTTTGTAAAGGGCAAGCTGGTGATGGTTGGGCGCAGGCAGGTTCCACCTTCCCTCGGGGGCCCGCCGGGGTGCCGGTCCCTGCCTGGCCAGCAGGCGGCGCGCACGCGCCGTGGGGCCCAGAGGGGAGGCGGGTCTTGCCCCCCGCCCCGGAGCGTGCGCGCGCCCGATGGCGGGGCCGCGCACGCCGGGGCTGGGGAGCCATTTCCGGGCGGGGAGGGGCGGGTACGCCGGCGGTCGGACCTCCAATCTCGGTGGCGGCGGCTGCAGGGGGAGCCCGCGCTCCGCCGCCCGCGAGTCGGTCGCGTGGTGAAGAGGAGCGGGGCCGGCGAGAGGGAGAGGCTCAGGGAAGGAGCGGGGAAGCGGACTCGGGGCAGGGGAGTGCAGGAGGGCCGCTGAGGCTCCGGAAAAGGGAGGGTCGGGCTGGGGCGGAGGGCTCCAGGGTGGGCAGGGCAGGGGAGTGGAGGGGAGGAAGGAGGGCCCGGCGGACCGAGGGGCGCGGGGTGAGTGTGGGCGCGCCGAGCCCCGAGGTCAGAGGGAGCCGGGGGGGGGGGACCCGAGCGGGAGCGGGCTCTGAAACCCCACTCCCGCGGAGGTGGGAGCGGAGTGGGGAACAGGGATCTGCTGATCCTTCCGAAGAGAGGAAGGGCTCCGGGGTGGGAGCGATGGAGCCGGGAGCGAGGCCAGCGGGGCTCTGGAGGCTGGACGCTGGGCTAAGCTGCCCGTGGCTTCCGATCTCCGGCCCTGCTGCGTTGGTGGGCTGGGCTCCGGGACTCCCGGCAGGGTCGGCGGCGGGCTGGGCGTTTCCGCGGGTGTCTACCTGGGGGGCTTGCTTGGTGGGAGGCTGGGTCTGGATTCGTTTGGTCAGCTGTGGGAGGGAAGCACAGTGCCAGCAGGATTCTGATTCGCTGGCCTGGGTGCTGGGGGTGGAGTGTCAATTTTGCGAGTGAAATCGGAGCTCTCAAAGGAGCGAGAGAACCATTTCTTGACTGCTCTAGCGACTCTAGGCGGGCCGAGGCGACAGTTTAAAGCTTTAGAAGTAAACAGACCTGGTTCCCTTTTGCAGAGGGGAGGCCCCGAGAGGAAGGCTGAGGGAGGAAGATGCCGAGTACGGACCTTCTGATGTTGGTGAGTCTTTCCCAAACATCCTCCTTGTTAGAAGGCACTTGTCCCTTAAGTTTTATTTTTAGTCTAAAGGATCTGAGTGTGTAGATCTCACTTCTGATGCTGGCTTTTGGTAGCTGAGCATTTCTGCCACCTTTTATTTTGGGTTTACTGCTTGGGATGGATAAATGACTGGATTAAATATACGAATATATTTGTATTTAATGAATATGAAGACTCTTACAGAATTCTTGCAATTGATTTTAATCTCTCCCCATACTACCAGAACAGTTTTAAAATTTCTATTAAATTTTGTCCGTGTCTGCCATGTATTCGTTTATAAGTGTTTGTCTCCCAGACTAGAGTTATGATTCCTCAGAAGACATAATCATGTCTTACTTGTTTAGAGATAAATAAAAAACTGTCATGGTGCTCTGTGTATAGTAAGTGCTTAACAAATGCTTGTTGAGTTAAACTAATTTGAATTTAAGTTCTTTTGTTGGGCTGAGGAATATGCCTGTTTTGGTAGAGTCTGTTTTTTCCTCTGGAGATCTTTCCCTGCCCCCCCCCCCTTTTTTTTTTTTGCCGAGCAGGGAGAACAGCATTGCCAAATGAGTGTTTACCAAAATGAGGTTTTATTCTTGGGACATTTATGATTCCATAGAAGCTCTTTATTGTGAGTGTTGTGGGGACCCCATGGCTTTCCAATAGCTCTCTTGAAAAAGAGCATTTTGTTTTTAATAAGCTACTTCTCTGAGTCTGATGTCTCTTTGTGGGAAAACACAGATTTCAGAACAGTTCATTTTCCTCTCTTTATCTCACTATCCCAGAGAGCTGGTAGCTGTCCCTGGGAAACTGGCAAAAAAACCTAGCAGTGAGGGTTTTTTGTTTTTTTTTATACCCAGTCCTGACTTTCTGTAGTGGCAAAACCTATAAGGTCTGTGGGACGGATAAAGAAGGAAACTAAGTGGTGATTAGTTCCGGTTTGAGGCAGAGAGCAAGGATGGTTTTAGAGGCCTGGGTAAATAGTTGGCTTATTCACAGATCCTGATAACGAGTTCACCTAAAGTAGCTTCTTGCCTCACATTTCATGATTGTCAGTAGATAATAAATAGCCTTATTTATTACGTGATTTTAAATGCTTATCGCAGGAGCCACGTATTAGAAAAATTGGGAGCTGTACATAAACGAAAGGAAGCAATCCCCAATAATTATACTACGCAGAAATAAGCACTTTAGAGGGTTAATGCAGAATGATTTGTAACGATTGGCAATTTGTTTTTCCTCTTACAGATCAGTATGTTTATGTAAGTTAAGATTTCTGGTGTAAGTAGCCTACACCTTCATGCCCAGAGATGAGCTTGTGACTTCTTGGGCCTGTGGGCTCTCTTGAACAGTGTGATCAGTCACTGCTTTTTTATTTAGGATGTGAACTTGGGCATCGTTTTGTTTTGAAGTATTTCTCTGGCCACCACATTAGTTTTCATTTCATTTGATAATCTAGAGTATCAAATGAGGGTGTTGATTTGCTTGTTGGTGTAAGGGATTAATTCACACGAATAAAGACTGGTTCTTGAGAATCCTCACTTTCTGAGGATTCTGTTTGTGTTCCTTGAGGTGCTTTCTCTGGAGAAGTTGTCATTCCTTCTTTGTGGGTGTTGTGTTCTTTGAGGCCAGATGGTAAAGAACCAGTGGTTAGGGCCGGGTTCTCATTGGGGGTAGTAAACGGTCATTATTTGCATTCTTTAGCTACTTTGTATGAAGCAGAAGATATGTTCTGGGCCCTCTAACTGGCAAGAAAGGACCCCAGTTAATAAAAAATAACCTCCGTGCCAGGCGGTATATTGTAGCGCCCCAGAAGTAGAAGTAGAAGCAATCTTGGAGGCCGTGTGATGCAACTTCTTACTTAAATTGTATGTGAATCCTTTTTAGAGCATCTCTGATGAATGGATACCCCATCATCCATCCTTTCTGCTGGGGGAATAAGATGGGCATGAGCTAGGACACAATCCAAGTTGGATCCAGGAATAATAACATAAATCTGATAGCTAACATTTATTGAGCAGGTATTACATGTTAGGTGCGGAAATAGATACTCTACGTATTCATTTAATTTTCGCAAAAACCCTTTGAAAACTATGCTGGCATCTTTTGTAGGTGAAAAACCAGGCTTAGGGAGGGTACTGCAGCCATGAGGTGGTGGAGCTGTGTTTTAACTACGGTTAGTCTGATTTCAGATCCCTCCTGTTCTGCTTTTGTGTTGCTGCCTCTGGGCCACATTGCCCATAAGGGACAGAGGTCGCTGAGCTTTGTGACTAATGGGAGAGGGTTTGTGTAGGGCGGGGTACCTCTGCCCTCTGAGGGGGCACTTTGGAAGTGTGTGGGGGAGTGCTTTTGTTTTCTAGTATGGTCTTGTCTGAAAACATATATTTTATTACACAGATCTTCTGATTTATCTTCTTGTACCTTGCAGTTAGGGCATTATATTGAAATTTGTAAAAGTTATGTTCGTAGAGATCTTTGAATTCCGTTTCAGAATAATAAAAGGGCATAGAAAATATTTGTTCTAAAAAGAGGGCATTGGGGTTGATAGGTTTGGAAACTACTTGTCTGGACGGTATCCTGTGGCACTAAAGCATGAAGATGAACCGGAGTCCGTACATGATAAGCCTTGTACTCCACACCACAGAGCTGGGGCTGTCAGTCTTCGGTGCCTGCCTGCCCTTCCCTTTGCCCTCGTTTGATAAGGGTGGTTTGCCTGACTTTTTCCGTTTGCTCACTTATGTCATGAACCGTAATACTTTCCACCTGTGTCTCAGAGAGAATCAAAGGGTTGAGAGTATTCATCTGAGACCTGCGATGCTTTCAGAAGGATTTCAGGTCTGGAAATTTTTTTTAGCAGTTTCTCACCACTTTGGCAACCATTCTTTTCACCTATGTTCTCCTCCTCCCTAGTGCTGGGGAATGGTGTCACTTTGCAAGTTGTCAAACACTTAGAGCTTTTAAGAAAAGGGTATTTTATAAAGCTAAGTCTGCTCCTTTGGGTGGCTTTTCTCTTTTCTCATCCAGTGAATCATACACACTCTGATAGTGCTGGGCGGAGTTTGAGAGATAGTTTATCTAGGGCCAAGGTTCTCAGCTGTGATTTTGCTCCCCAGGAACATTTGGCAATGTCTGGAGACATTTTTGGTTGCCATACTAAGTGCTAGAGGTCAGGAATGCAACTACAGGCTCTGCTATGCACACAGCACTCCACCACCAAGAATTATGTGGCCTAAAATGTCAGTAGTGCTTGGGTTGAGGAACCCTGGTGTAGGCTTCCTGAACATAGGGAATAGCATCTGCGTAGCCCTTGCATTCATATGGGTGAGAGAATGAGTCTTAGAGTTCAGTGGGTCTGTTACAGTGCTACTTGGGGTTATTTTGTCCAGGGACCACTGCCTGCTGCTTTGGAATATATATATTGGACATGATACAGCACAATCTTCTGTAACACAGTAAAATCTTAAGAAATGATTTCTTTGCAACATTTCTGAAGCACTCTTGATGTGGAAACAATAAGCCTGTCTCAGGTTTTTGGGGGGAGTTCAAAATGGAATCTTTCCAGATCTTAGAGCTTTATCTTTTAGCCTTGACTCTTTCTCAGGCATGCTTTCTTTCTGAATATCAAATAGGATTTGAGCAGTAAGCCAAGAGATGGGCACTAAAAGCTCATTTCTAGTATTTGAATCTGGTGTTTTATTTGTAGGATTGTCTAGAAGGAAGGGAAAATTTATTGGGACTGGTAGGACCTTTAAAATTTTGTTAACCATTTGAATGGCCCTTGTAAGATGAGCACTGTATTTGGCATTGTTCCAGTCTTACTGGTAAAGCAAAACTATAATAACAAGTCTGATAATTCCTCCAGCCATTGGTCTAAAGGAAGGAGGGATTATAAATAGATAAACCTCAAATCCCAGTATTTGGCTTGGTTTTGCAGTCTGTGTGTCAGGAATTTTTAGTAACATTTGCTTTCTAAGCTTTGCCCAAACATACAGTTTGTACACATTGGTGGCAGAACTGGGAATCATTTTGGGATTAAGAATTTTCCATAGGGAATTGATTCAGAGTGAATCAGTCCATATGTGGAAACATATAGAGCACAATTACCAAGAGAAAAACCATGCTGGGGGGTAAGGGGAAATTGGCATCCGGGCAGATGGAACGGTGCAGGCCGAAGAGTAGTTTGGATATATCAGTTATCTCTTGGCACCACCCAATAGTGTGATTGAGGAGAAAAAAGGACTATTTACAAAGCTGAGCAGAATTAAGAAGACCCGTAGGAGTTGGTGAAACACCTCAGGGCTAAGAGCCATCATCATTCTTAGGCCTGAGTGGGCAAAGAGAGAGTAGCTTCTGGAACCTTGAAAGTTTAGCTGGAGGAGAGGGTAACCTGTAGGAATGCTGCCACGGCCAACCGGTACCCTAGCAGGGAGGGAATCAAGGGGAATAAATACCTCAGACCCTGTCTTTTCCCACCCTCTGATCTCAGGCTCGAGCCTTACATGGGCCAAACCTAGCTGGAAACCAGAGGGTAAGTAAGGGGAGCCTGGGAGATTTAATTCATAGAGGGCAGCCCTGTGAGGCGCAGAGAGGTGGAGAGGGTTGGGTAGAGGATCTGGAGGAGCCAAGGGAAGATAACCAGCATGCTAAAGTTGAGGTCTAGTTAGTTCTGAGAGGCACAAGCGAGAAGATAGCTTGTTAGCAGAGTCTTGAAGAACGGATAGAACATGGAATGTTATAGAAAAGGAATGTTCTCACTGATAACAGAAGGATAGATTCAGAGGCAAAATGTTGCCACAGCTTTGGCAAGGCCCGAGCTGCTTTTTTCCAGAAGTAGCCTTAGAATCTTAATTGCCTGAAGGGCATTGAGAAATCCTGCAGTCCAACTTCCCTTGCTGTGTGGAAATCCTTTCCACGGTGCCCTGCCAGGGGTGGGTGCAGAGTGCTTTCTCGGGGAGTTCTTTCCATTGTTGGACAGCTTT